TTATATAAAAATAAATTAATTTACTTCAGCTATTTCTCAAAAATGACTTAAGGTAATCACCGATCAATGCACTAATTAAAAATGTTCAGTATAGTTGAAAACCTTCCCCAAACCTCTAATTTAAATTTTAAAATCTAATACTAGCTTTAAGATTTAAGTTAAAATTTTTTGCTATTTTATATAACTCTATATAGAAATATATATAGATTTATATAAATAGATATATAAACTTTATATTGGGTTTATAAAGTTTTGTATAGCTACATAAAAATTTTACATAGTCTTATATAAAAATTCTACATAATTCTACATAAAAACAACTTTGTGATGCTAAATATTGTCTCTAATACAGTCAGAGAATATATCAAATATGGGTATTAAACCTAGCTACTACACAAAAAATGTGCAGATTGGGCCTGCATAATTTTGGCTGGAATTAACTTTTTAATTTTTTCATTTCTAAAATAGAAATTTTTAGAGAAGTAGGCTTGTACAATAATAAAATTAGCACAGGAACATTTTTTACTTAATGGGTGGCCATAATTTCATTAGTAAAATTTTTGAGTAATTTTGGCCTAAATTGTTGATTATTGCTGCTAGCCAATCAAAATCAAGGATTAACCACGCATTTTTTGTGCGTATTTTTTGTGTGACACCTAGGTTTAATAATATGGGCAGTGTAGATTACACCTTTTTTGGTATATGAGCATTAATTAAATGATTCTAGATATTTAGGTTATACTTAAATCACGAAATAACATATGCATATCAACCAATCAAATCACAGCTTTAAAATAAAGAAATTAAATAATATATAGCACAATATTCATTAACAAAAGATCATTTAAATGGCACTGAACTTTAGAGCTAAATAGAAATTCATATTGCACATAATTTTTATTTAATATACCAAAGTTGATTTACTAATACAAAAAAATTTGGTTTAATCATCTACTATAGATATAAAATGCACAGATATTTTGTCAAATCTTAATAATTTTTGCACCATTTGACTTGTTTCAATAAAACAAATTGAATAGTATAAAAATCATTTGAATTTAATAAGTAGAACATGAAAATATCACTGATAATATTTCTATTCTTTTATTATACTTTTTAAAAATGCTTGACAAAATCTTATAGTATTCTTGAGTTGCAAACATATTCCAATCTTTTTATAACTATATTTACTCATTTTGATATCTAAAAAGTAAAACAAAATGGTTAAAAAAATTAAAATAATTGATAAAAAAAAACTTAATTGTCAAATTCATTATAAAATCACTCTCAAGAATAGTAATAAAAGTGACAGTTTCTAGAATATAATTTTAAGCTATAACAAGTAGCAAATATCAAATACAAACTATAAATACTAAATAATTTAGTGTTTTAATATAGTGTTAGTTAAAAACAAGCACGAATATAGCAAACGAAATAGTTTACTGAACACTATTTTAACAAGATTAAACTTCTATGTGCAAAGCAGTTCTTCAGATTTTGAGTCTCATCTACTTTTTCAGTGAAAGTAAATTGAAGTGGATTATTGTAAATTATTTGAACTAGACGTTTTCTACAACCTATTCATATATCTATTTGTGAATTTGTAATAATAAATGAAATGAATAAAAAATTACTGAAAAATAGTTGCAAAACGTGCACAATAGTTAATCAAATGTGAGAACCCATCATATAGATCATTCTAAAATCTGACTCCTAATTTGGTATATTCCCTGACTGTAATATATAAATACAGTTTCATGATATATTTTAATATTTGGATTATTAGATATTACTTTGAAATTAATTCCATTATCATAAATATGCAATTCATTTAGAGTATTGTTTATACAAAATGCATCTTCTAATGCTTTTCTGCTTCTAATTCAAAACTACTGTAGCTAAAGAATAAAAGAGCCAGTGTAGTATTCTTGTAAAGTGCATCTGCTAATACTCACAGATAGAACTATCAAACTTTTTCAAATGTATTATATTAGAAGATTTTTGTAAAGAATCATAAGTCATTCCAAAAGTTTTTCAGCAATATTTATAATTAATAAAACTACCAATATACCATTAGAAAACCTTTGTATTTATTTTCAAATCAAAATAGAAATACACATAGAATTTTTCTAAAAAACAAATAGAAAACATTCAAAAAACCAATAAAAAATCTTGAAAATATGTTAGTGGTACAGGTTTAAAGGTGCAGGGATCATGATAACAGACTAAATAAGTTATTTAGAGTTTATTTTGACAATTCAATAGTGAAATAAATAAATAAATAGAATGTTCAATCAGTGCATGATCGAAGTTTACTTTATTTTCTTGAACAAACTTGTATTTTCTTGAACAAGCTTGTATTTCTTAGACTAAATTGATTTCATAAACAAACCTGTATTTCTCGAAAAACTTTATTTTCTAAATAAATAAATATCAGCATCATACATTGTGAACAAATTGAGAGGTTGATAATATGAAAATTTAGTGAACAAATTACCCTGTGGATAAATATAATGAGTGTGAAGATTATAAAAGCAAGCATTTGGTGGACTTTTAGTAGACAGATATTAATTAAATCGACAATATCTTCATTTTTTACAATGCTTAATTGTCTTTGTTTAAAATATCACACAATAGGTGAAAAACTTTTATCATGGAGAACTTGGCGGCAACACCAAAAGCAAAATACTCATTGTACATTTTCCATCCTAATACATTCGCTATCTAACCAGTGTCAGCCTATTTCAGCAACAAATCAAACTTTCAATTCACAGAATGATTATTCAGATTTAAATAGTAAATATAAGATTGAAGAAAATAAATTGAATTATTTCAATGATGAAAGTGAACTGGATTATTCTGACAATACACAGGAAGATGAATTTAAAAAAAATAATATAAATACAGAAAAGTCATCTTAGTATATGGATAGTGTAGAAAATATCACAGTGTTTCAAGAATGTAAAGTAATTAAAAGTACTGTCTTTAAATTTTAATAAAAACTTTTTAACTTAATATATATATTTAAATAAATTAATAGCAAGCAACAAATAGTTCATCTTGTAAATCAAAAAGATTGCCATTGGTATAACTAAATAATTTGCCAACAAATAATTTTACTCAAAGTGAACACAATTGTAATTCAAGTCAAAATGAAAATAATGATTCAAGTCAAAGCGAAAATAATAATTCTTGTCAAAGTGAAAATAATAATTCTGATTAAAGCAAATGTGTTATTAATTGAGACATTGAAAAAGATATTAATGAAGAAACCAATATTGATGAAGAAACTGATGGAGATGATATAAAAATACCACGATCACTATTACTAAATATTAATTATGATACTTTTCCAGAACCATCATATAATCCAGTACAATTTTTATACAATCCTTCACTTTTGAAAACAAACTACATGATGCAATAGATTATTCTTAGATTATTCTTATTTCAACAATCATTCATAATTACCAAAACTGGAATTATAACTTTAATTATCTTTTTTTGTTATGTATTAATATTTTTAAATATATCTCAATTTCAAAATTTTCCAAAAGCAAACATTATACTAAAAAAATTATTGCGCAAACCAATTCTATTCTCAAATATACTGTATATTTACATTGCCATTCTCTCTATTTGCTAACAGATTTGGCTTTAAATACTATGGAACATACAAAATGTCTTAAATGTAAAAAAATTTTAATAAAAACTATAAGAAAATCAGAAGGGAAACTTAAGTATAAAGTTAAGTTACTTTTCTGCAAAGCTTTTTATTAACTAAAAACTAATATAAATCTCATATTTATATTTGCCTTTAGCAATTTACCCTTACCAATCTACTAGTACAAGACTTGTGTTGATATAGTAGATGAATTGAATGAAAAATCAATAGATTTGTCATTTAAACGACAAGTTGAAGAGGGCATATTGGGTGATGTCTATGGTGGGAAAGTTTGAAAAGAATTTTCAGATGAGCAAAGAAAACCTTTTTTAGTACTGATGTTTGAATTGGATTAGCTTTTAATTTTGACTGGTATACCCCACATTAGAAAATTTTAAAATTAGATTGTAATCAATTAAAATCATAAAATTATCATCGATTAATAGCACCCCTATCGAGTATA